ATACTTTTCAAAAGTTTCCGGTATCTATACAAATCTTCTAATGACTACTCTGTCAAAAACGCTATTGCAAAGAGTATCATCACTTTGACTGGTCTTAAGACATCACAAAAAAACAATTGAATCGACTTTTTGATTCAAAATTGCCTCAACATTCTACATATTTCGGTTGATCTGGTTTTCTCTTAGTATGCAAAAAACGTCTACCTCGTTTCAAATCGTTTCTCCGACTTTTCACTAAACGCAATTTTAAATTTCCCTTCACGTCCCCGCAGCTAGTTTTGCCTACCAACTTAAAACAAACAATATCCCCCTTGATATTCGTTCTCAACAAACTCGAAACGAACAAAACAACTATTTTTTTCGACCGGAATATTAGGGGACTTGAATGTAAACAAATCGTTTTCAACTACAAATACATCTATATTTTTACCTGACAAGGTAATAAAAATTTATGGGATTTGAAAGTATACATAGACAAAAAAATATTTCCAGCGTTATTACGCATTTAAGAATCTCAACTTAACTTGATATAAACCACCAGCACCGTACTACAAAAATTCAAACAGAATCTATAATATTATATAGATATTAAATATGAAAATTTACAACGCTACAGCACAAATTTAATAATAAAATCTTGCCCAAGTACTTTCGCTTTCTACAGCATCATCAGGGGCATTTCGTCAAATTTGGGCCATCCAGCAATCGCAGAATGTAATAAACATGAGATGGGACATTAATTTCCGTTAAATACCATTCTCTTTCCTGTTGCCGACAAGAATGTAGAGCATAGAATAATTTTTAATAATTTTAAACTGTTTGTCCTTATTTTAATGTAGCTTGCGCTTGCTGGATAGCCCAAATTTAACGAAATTCCCTGATGATGCTGTAGAAAGCAAAGTACTTGGGCAAGATTTGATTATTAAATTTGTGCTCGATATTTGCCTTAATTTTTCAAAGTTCATTTATTCGAGCTTCTTCTTAACATGCAATACACCAAAGTGCGTAGGCGACTATCTCATTACTAGAATTCTGTTCTTGGCGGCGTGACACAGCTCACCTGTATTGTGTATTCCTGTCCATTCTTTAATATTCCTTAACCAGGACAATTGTTTGCGGCCGGCTCCTCTCCTACCTTCGATCTTCCCTTGTAGGATTAACTGTGGTATTTCATATTTTGCTCCTCTCAATATGTGCCCAAGGTAACCAATCTTGCGTTTTTTAATTAATTCAAAGAGTTCTCTTTCCACGCCGGCTCAATTAAGGACGTCATCGTTTCGAACTCTATCCACCCAAGGTATGCGCATCATTCTTCTCAATGACCACATTTCAAATGCTTCAAGTTTGTTGATAGATGTTTTTTTCAAAGTCCACGTTTCCATGCCATAAAGCAAGATGGACCATATGTAGCACTTGACCATTCTGTAGCGTATTTCGAAGTTTAGGTGTTGATTACATAGGAGCGGTCTGAATTTCACAAAAGCTTGTCTTGCCATTTGTATTCGGGTTTTTATCTCGTGTTGTGGATCCGATTGGTCATTGATTGTGGTGCCAAGGTATTTAAAAGTTTTCACGCGATTTATACGATTATCACCTATGCATAATATCGGGTTTTCTGGAGGGTTTCTGCTAATGACCATATATTTCGTTTTCAAAATGTTGATTTTGAGGCCATATTTTTTACCTATGCTATTCACCCTATCAAGTAATAACTGCTGATCTTCCAAATTATCAGTTATAATCACTGTGTCGTCCGCATAGCGTAGGTTGCTAATTGGTATGCCGTTCACCTTAATGCCTAATTCCGTATCTTCTAATGCTTCCGCAAATATATTTTCAACATATAAATTCGAGCATTCAACCTAAAATATAAATATAATAAAAATTCAGCCATGCCCATTCCAAAGTCATCTAGCGAAAAAACTGTAAATTAAGCAGGCCCGACCAACTCAGGTTCTACCTGTAGAAACTTAGAATCATTTTAATTAATTTTAAACTGTTTGTCCTTGTTTTAGTGTAGTGTTTTGTACAATTTTATGTTAAAATTCATGTTTATCACATTCTACGCTTGCTGGATAGCCCAAAGTTGACAATTTGACCCCTGAAGATGCTGTAGTAAGCGAAAGTACTTGGGCAAGATTTAATTGTTAAAATTGTGCTTGATATTTGCCTTTCATTTTTCAAAGTTCAATTATATGTTTCAGTGACAACTAAGTGTTGCACTTGGTACACATCGGAGCAGCCTCCTGGTTGAAGATATGCTTGTGGGTAAGAAAAGTATGTCCTATTCGCAGTCGGTTGATGATGACTTGGTCTTTTCTATTACTTGGTAAGATGAGTTTAGTTCCTACTTCACTAAGACATTGTTTGAGTTTGTTGGCAGTGTGATCCCAAGTAGTTTGCCACGCTCTGTACATGTGGACTTTGATATTTACTTTGTGATCAGTCCAAGGCATTTGATTTATTATAGCAATACTTTGGTCGGTTATTGCATTGCTTGCCAGAGAGTTCATTTCCTCATTACTACTTATTCCCATATGGGAAGGTACCCAGATAAAGCTCTTCTTTGATCTTGAGAAGTATGGCGTGAATTGTATATAGCTGTTTTATTCCAAGTAATGCGCTCATTGAATCGGCGATGATAACAAATTTGCTTTCATTGATAGAACTACATTTTTTCATGGCATGGTTTCATTGCCGTAAGTTCTCCGGTATATATACAACAATTTGTTGGGATTCATATGATAGATTTGACGTTTTCGTAAATGTAGGCTGCAGCATTGCTGCAAATGCAGTGAAGATTTGATGGGTTCGAAATATAATACTGATGTATATATAATTTACTGTTTGTATAATACTGATGTGCCAAAATCTGATGTGTAAAATAATACTGAAGACGCTAGGTATAACTACAGGAAAATTTTAAATAAAGAGCTGAAAAGAATCGACGAAAATTTAAGTATAGAAGAATACTGGACCAAATGCAAGGAAGCTATCCATACAGCGGTTAAAGGCTTTTTAAAACACAACCAGGATAAAATAAATGCAAGATTGGTTTGACGAAGAATGTAGATCCATTAACCAACAGAAAAATGAAGCATATAAGAGACTTCAGCAGCGCAAAACGAGATTAAAACCTGGAAGACTATAAAAATCTTAGACGAGAAGAAAAAAGGACGTTTAGAAGGAAAAAGAAAGAGCCATACTAAAACGCTCTAAACGAGATTGTTAACCAACACAATAGAAAAGACTCGCGAAAATTCTACCAGAAGATAAACAGCTGCAGAAAAGAATTCAAACCCAGAATAACAGCATGTAAAGACAGAGATGGTTCCATAATTAGTGACAAAGAACAGATACTAAATAGGTGGGCGAATCATTTTGTAGAACTGCTTAGCGACAGTTGTGAAAAAGACCAAATAGAAATTACTTTGCCTGAAATGGATGAGAACACTCAAGAGCCGCTTCCCACCGAAGAAGAAATTAGAGAAGCCATTTCAAAACTGAAAAATAACAAAGCTCCTGGTTTGGACAATCTTCCTGCCGAACTCTTTAAAAATGGTGGTGACACCCTTTTTAAACACACGCATAAATTAGTAACCGTAATCTGGCAGCGGAAGGAAACGCCCGCAGTCTGGATTGCGGTTTCCGACCAAATAAATCAACCACGGATCAAATCTTCACAGTCAGATTCTTGAGAAAACGCTTGAGTTCGGAGTCGACACCCACCACATATTCGTGGAATTCAAAGCCGCATATGACTCAGTCTACAGACAAAACCTTCTACAGGCTATGGTGGAATTTCAAATGCCGCTTCATCTTGTTCAACCTACGGAACTCACACTTACAGGCATAGAGAGTGTAGTCAGAATCCAAAACGACTTTTTTAGTCTCTTCCATTATAAAAATGGACCGAGACAGAGAGATGGACTGTCGTGTCTCTTATTTAAACTTGCACTAGAAAGAGTAATTCGAGAGTGCCATATTAATATGAATGACACCATCTTTAATAAATCTCTACAAGTGGTCGGATATGCAGATGACATAGACATTATTGCTAGTTCCACAGAATCTCTGATCGCAACATTTCAATCATTAAGGGCGTCTGTACTGAGAATGGGATTAAAAAAAACGCACAGAAAACCAAGTATATGTATTGTACTAGATCAGGCAACCAGGTAGACTATTAATTGATAATCTGGAACTGGAAGGTATGGGCACCTTCGTGGATACCTACCTGGACTCGCTGCTGACCAAAAACAACAATGTCAGCGAAGAAATTAAATGAAGAATAGTGCTTGCCAATAAGTGCTATTACGGCATGAGGAAACAGATGGCCCCAAAACTACCCAGAAAAATTAAAGTTACCATATTTAAAACACCAAATAAGGCCAGTGTTAACATACGGGTCAGAAACTTGGTCACTTACACAGAACGACCAAGAATTGCTTAAACGTTTCAAGAGAAAAATTCTAAGGAAAATATGGAGAAGTTAAAAAACAGAGTTTGTGACGTAGGCGCTACAACTTTGAGTTATATAGAAGTTTTGGGGAAGCTGACATTGTAAAATGTATTAAATGAGCACGCCTTCGATGGATAGGACACGTAATTAGGTGAGATGAAGATACAACGATCAGAAAAATTTTCGACCGAAGGGGAACAGTGGGAATGGGAAGACGAGCCAGAAGAAGACCAAAACTTAGGTGTCAAGATAACATAGAGGATGATCTAAAATCCATCGGAGTTAAACCATGGAGAACAGTTGCCAGAGACAGAGGTGAATGGAACATTGTTCTGAAGAAGACTTTGGCTCATAATGAGCTGTAATGCCACTCATGATGTTGAATGCCATATATTTGTCGCATTGCTCCTGTAGTGATTCTTTCCCAAGTTAGCATTATATATATATATATATATATATATATATATATATATATATATATATATATATATATATACCTATATTGCTTAATGATTTATAAGGAAATTAAAAGACAAATTAATAAATGCAAGAAATAATTTATTGTAACAATTAAATTAAGTACTAAAAATTAATTCAAAATAACTTAAATCGTAATAATACTGTTCTTTATAGTATTTAAAAAAATATACAAATAAATATTAAATTTTGATACTATAAGACTTCAGCTCACTAGTATCAATAACAACTGTAGTACTGATTTCTAATAAATCAGACCACTTCATAGAAAAAGTAAAAAGGACCAATTTTTTCTTATAGACAATTCATATTCGGTTACAAATAGTTGGGTGGACTCTGAGGTGGCATCCTCTTTTCTTCTTCGTTCTCTTTAGCAAACACGTCGTCGTCATAAACACTTACGCTTGTCAAGGCATCCAGAATATCATCTGTGTTATTGTTGAGGCATTCCTCATCTTCATCAGAATCAACCACCAAAATAGGCGTGGCACCGTCCAGCAAGTTGGACTTGCTTTTGGACCTTTGGTACATTTCTTTGGACACACTTCTTGTAAATGAGAGCCTGCTGGATTTTTGCCTTGTAAGAGGGGGTCTGAAGGATACTCTGCTGGTAATTTCTGCGCTGTATTCTTGAATGATACGCCAGGCATAGTCTATGTCAGCTTCTGTAGCATGTTCAGCTACTACACAAAATCGAATGATGTACTTATCTTTGACCATGCTAGGAATCATGTGAAGTTTACCAGAATCGTTTATGTTGGCTAATAGTTTTTTGTTGTCGCAATCTGGGGCTTTTAGTCTGAAGCAAACTAGACCTAGGCGTACATCGTTTACAACTTCGAACTTTGGGTTTTTCCTAACTAAAGATTCGAAATATTTTGCTAGTCTTATATGGTTCCTAATGTAGTTCTGAAGACCAGAAAGTCCATAGTTTCTAATAACAAACCACAATTTTAAAGATCGGAACCTTCTACTAAGCGGAATACCCCAGTGTCTGTAATCAATGGCTTCATCTGAATTGGCGTGTTGAAGATATAAAGGATCGATTGCTAAAGCACTAGTGAGTTTGTACTTACATCTAACCCATAAACAGGAACAGTCAAAGTTGGTTAATAACCATTTGTTGGGGTTAGTATTAAAAGAATCTATATATTCGACCCCCTTCAGCAGATATTTCAGTTCAGGTAAAATAAAAGCGTTACCAGCATAAGCAGCATCGACGTGAAGCCATGTACAAGGCTCTAATTTGCAAATCGGACCCAATTCTTCTAAATTATCAAAAGAAGCACTCGCTGTAGTACCAAGGGTAGCACTAACGAGGAAGGGAAAGAGTCCTTTAGCTTTATCTTCTTCCATGGCAGCACGAACTGTCTCCCCTCTCAAACTACCATTCTCGTCAGGATCCAGTATTCTAATCTTCACAAGAAGCATCTTCGCTGCTTTCTCGACGCAGGAATGCGCTTCTTTTGAACAATAACAGATCAACTTTGGCAAAAATTCGCTGTCGTGACTACTGTTTGGATTGTCTTTTTTGAGATACTGAATAGCTTGGTTTCTAGCTGCCAGCATACATACTAGGACACATTCGCTGGCACAGGTCTCAAGAACTCCTCCACCTTTACTGTCTTTACTACTTGAAGTGATAAAATCGTCTGGAAGACCGATGGCTTTGCCGAACCAATCTAAAACGATGGTTTCCAATTCTGTGCAGGCGGGACTGGAAGCCTGTAACAAAGAAAAAAAGGTTAGTTAAATTGTAACTAAATATTTTATTAATTTATTTTAATAAGTTATGTAATTGTGTTATATAATGAAGAGCATTATCAGTTTTATTTCTGTAGTTATTAAATGTTTTTCATAGTAAAAATGTCACTTATATCTTCATTGTATATATAAAACTAAAACCATAAGTTTACTATGTAGTTTTATAACCTTACATTATACTTTTCCAAATAAACGTTTATAAAATAACTTAAACTTGGATAATTAAAAATAATTGTTCCATAAAAACACGATTTATATATGAGATAATTTTCATGAGATTGTAATGTAAAAATGACTCGCGTTAAATAGTGTCAACATGGGGATTACTTGTTTGAGTTTGGTAAAAACAATCTGCAATGATACGTTAAGTATGCTAGATTTTGTGGTGTAATTTTTTAATAATAAAGATTTTCACCGCAATGTTTTAGTGCGATGGATTTATGGCTATATTATGGTGTTTATATGGATAAAGATGACAGTGTTGTAATTATTAGTTTCTTTGAATGATGTAAAAGTATAAACGAAGCAACCAATTATTATTGTAGGCTATTTAGTTTTTCTGCAGATATCTCTAAAATTTTAATACCTCTAGCAAGGTTCGTCAGCCTTCTAGAAGACATGTTTTCTATTTTCAATCTTCTTCTTCATGTACCATGTCCTTTCAGAACGTTGGTTACCATCATAGCTATTTTAATTTTATTCACTACCACCCTACATGGCGTCAAATTTCAATGGCGTCAGAATAATATAAAATTGCAGAGTAAATCTTCTATTATTTTTTCCAAAAACGACAATTCTTTTTAATCTGAGTCTCAACTGAGATGATCTTTTGGTGCTTTTTTTGCTCACTCCGAGAAGATACCTGTAGGTTTTAGTATATAGTTTGATAAACATTTCAAAAATTATGATACCAATGTTCAAGAAAGGAGATAAAGAAGACCCTAACAATTATAGATGTATAAATCCAACCAACAAAATCAATAAACTAACGACTTTATCAGATGAGCAACAAAGATTCAGATCCGGAAGATCCTACGTAGACGCAGTATTTATACTAAGACAAATCACAGAAAAGGCCAACGAGTTCAATAAACCAGCATATCATAGTTTTATAGACCTGACAAAGGCTTTCGATCGCATCCAAGTCAAAGACGTCTTAGACCTACTGTATAAAAGAAACATACCAATCAATATTATACCAACCATCGAAAACATCTACTTCCATAATCGAATACAGGCAAAGATAAATGGAAAACTAACACATTGTATATCAGTACAAAGCGAAGTCAAACAAGGTGACTCGTTAAGCCCACTTCTCTTTAATATAAAACATCTAAATACACATTACGATGTAACATCGAAATTGATAAGAAAATAAAGCAGGATGCAAGGTTTATATATCTGGGAATAGATATAACTAGTTACGGATATGTTAAAGAAGAAGCAAAACAACAAAGCTTAAAAGCAAGTAAAGCGGCGGGATCTCTTAATAACACAATCTGGAAAAACAAACACCTCAGACAAGTCACAAAAAAATCTATAAAGCAGTAATTAGAAGACCTGACACATCTAAAGAGAGACGACTACGAGAAACAACAGATGAAAATACTTCGACGAATATCATATGAAGAAAACATAAGAAGAGCATGCAATATAGAAGACATAAATGGACGGGTGACAAAACGGAAACAGGAGTGGAACGAACTCACTAGTAGAATATCAGAGGATAGGATAATACGAACAGCACGAGATTAGTCTCCAAATCCAAATCCAAATCTCCAGAAGAAGTATTGGTAGACCAAGAAAAAGATGGTACGCTAATTTAAACAATTTAGGAGGCTAATATTGAAGAAGATACAGGCTTTAAAGCCTAGGATCCTGTGTTCAACAATGAACCACTCAAAATTTAAAATTGTCTATATCAGTTCCCTTTTAACCTAGAAGCACGAAATTGTACCAGTATAAGTAACACATATTAGTAATATATTACACATAATTTGGTTAGCAATAAAAATTAATGTTTTTGAGTTATTATTGTTTTTTTCCTTTAAGTGCCGTTGGTTCATTGTGTCCCACGGGTGGTACACAATGAACTAGTGCTGCGTACGCAGTGAACCAAACTGCTTTATTTTAAACATACCTAATAAAAATTAGGTCTACAGAAACAACAGTAAGATTTCAAAGTTTTATTATATAAAAGCAAAATAATAGGTGAAAAGGACAATAAAATTGAAGATAGGTATAATTTCTATCTGATATTTAATAAAGAAAAAGACACTGTAAACGCAAAATAAGATTGTTGTCGTTTTGTGCTGCCACATAGTTTTGGTCTCGGCAAAATATATTTCACATCTTTCTTGTTGACGGAAGCTATATCAGGAACATTGGGCATAACAAACTGCTCACTATATTTATCCTTAAGTCTTAAAAATGATATGCGATATTCCCCATCTTGTTCTATCTGTAATATCTTCCCCACAAAATATACTATTGACCTTGGTGGATGAAATTCTACCAGGACATAATCTTCTACGTTAGGGTTAAAACCTTGGGTACTAAACAAATTTGGATTTAAAACTGGAAGATCTTGTTCATACTCTCCACTATCACTGTCACTGTCACTCTCAAGGATATCTATTTCATCCTCCTCTGAATCTGTATTATCGTCATTAACAAAACGCACTCTCTTCTTAGCTTGCCTATTTTCATTCATTTGCTTCTTTCTTTTAGCTTCCAACCTTTCTTGTTCAATAATGTTTTTTTCCGGTGTATCTGTGGCAATAATACTTTTTTTACTTTTTCTGTTCTTCCTATTATTTTGACGAGGTTGGGCTTTCAATGCAGGCATAAATTGTTGTGGTGGAATAAATGATGGTCCTGCTTGACTTTCCGTATGTTTGGGGTTTTCTGATTGAATGTTATTAGTTGAAGAACTGTCATTTTCATTTGGCACAGTGATTTCATCGTTATGTTCACCTCCTTGAAGGTCTCTTGTATTATTAGAACTTTCATCATTTGGGCATGGTCTGTTTGTTACCTCACTTGGCAAAAAATCCTCATCTGTAAAGATATCCCGATCAAAGGGATATATACCGCATTTTTTAAAGGCATTGGCTATATTTGTAGGAGTCATGGAACGACTGTGTGCTATTCCAATACATTCAGCTAAATCATAAATAGATATCGGCCTACCAGGATTTCTTAGAAGCCACGACTCTATGGCACTGTTATAATACGTCTTGAACGGCGCATATAAACCAACGTCAAGTGGCTGTAATTTAGCCGATGTGTGGGGATGCAAAGTTACAATATTAACCCCTGCAGCTTTTGCCAAATCTAAGGCTTCGATTGATAAGTGAGATTCATGATTATCGAATATTAAAATTGATGGATTATCATGAGAGCTTCTGCTATGTTTAATGAAATGTTTCATTACCTCTACAAACAACTCCGAATTCATCCATCCTGTCGGCGTAGCAAGGCCTAAAGAGCCAGTGGGGGCGCCTTTTAACATGAAATCCTTATAATTTTTCCGCGGAAAAATTATTGCTGGTGGTAAAGCATAACCACCGGCACATATAAAACAGCACGTTGTTACTAGTGTCCCTTTCTCACCGCTGGTGACTTTACCCAAACACTTTTTCCCTTTTGGTGCCAATATTTTCTGAGTTTTTTGCACCGTTGTGGTTGCAGTTTCATCCAAGTTGTAAATTCTTGTACCGTCAGAAAATGCGGCATTTCGATTTATTACAGCATATAAGTTGTCAAAAAAGCGATTAACATTATCTCTGTTAAATGCTGTCGCACGTGCCAGGCTGCACGGCTCTGGTTTTCTCAGAGACAGATCTGTATGCCTGTTCCTAAAACTTCGGAGCCATTCCCTGCCAGCCATTTCTGCATTCCTCCATGAATCAGGAATTTTGATATTATTCCTTTGAGCCATTTGATATGCAACCTTTCTACATTCGACAGATGTCAATCCATAAAACATAAGTGCACAAGTTTTCAAGTAGGTCTTAAGAGCATCTTCTTGTTCACTTGTGAAAATCATGTTCGTCTCGTAGTTAGGAACAAATCTTATGTTTTCGTTTGGAGCACACTTTCTTTTTTCAACGTATCGCCTTAATGTAGGATATGCTAAATTACTTTCTACTGCTGCTTTTCGAATACTCATACCCCTGGTTACTAAGTCCAATGCTGTCCTCATTTGATCAACAGTATGTGCGCCTTTCTTTCTTTCTATTTTCTTAACGCGACCCATCCTGAAAATAAAAATAAATCTAAAAACTTGGAAGGGTACACAGTGAACCATGATTCATTGTGTCCCAACATAGTTTGGTTCATTGTGTACGTACCGCACCTTATAACAATCAAAGACCAATAAGTCATTATCTACAACAGTGTATTTTAGAGTTATATACCAAAACACTAACTAATGTATCAATGTATCGTACCACAGAGAATAAATTAAAATAATTCACCCATGTAAGAAATAAAACCGAAAATGCTTACCTTGAAAATTTTACTCGATGCCTTCAAATTTTTATAATCCGTTATAACACGTGCACATTTCGTGGTGGCAAAACAATAACTGAGATTTAGTTCTAGGTTATCTAGTACATTCGTACAGTGGTGCCGGCGTTTTTCTAAAATGCGTATTATTAACGAAAGATTGATTGGTTCATTGTGTACGTGTGGTTCATTGTTGAACATATGACCCTACATATAAGACAGAAGAAGTTAAAGCCAAGTAAAGGATATTTGACCCTACTGTGGAAGTAACCATATTCAGAATATTATCGAGTAATTGGTTTAATTTTAATACTGAGTAAATTTAAGAAAAAAAAGAATACAAAATCCAATAAGCAGCACGCTCACTTGATGCGCAGCAAAATTACCGGAAATATTTTAGTAGGAGAAGTTAACTACGTTTCAAAATTAGTCGAGTCTAGACGTTCATT